GGAACGTGAGAACAGGGGGTATTACTACACGTATAGATTCGAGGCAATGAAGAGGGCGGGTTCTGACGGATGGGCAATCATAACCTGAGAGAGTTGAAACTGCCGGGACTCAATCTATCAAGCTCTTCAATGCCAACTTGTCGAGTCAGAAGTCCTAAGCGGACGAAAAGATCGAAATCCCGGACAATTTGCTTGATGTGTGAGTATGGTGGTGGTTGGGTGTTTCGTCTATGTAATCTTGGACAGATGAGCGTGTCGCCGAGTGTCAAGTATCCTTTGCAACTTGATATAAGCTGTCCTGTCCCACATGGTGTGTTATATTCAGCAATGGCATTAGCGTCGATCTCTTTTGTTCAAAATGGAGCGGAAAATGGACTTCCAGCTGTGTTGGTCTAAACTGTGCCATGTCTGCACCCAGCTTAATGGCTATGCTAGAGCTTTCTGAGAAAAGTCGTGAGTATGCGCGGAGGAATATGTTGGGAGAGGCGACGAAGCTACCGGTGGAGTAACAAGAAGAGGTGTCGAGTGATTGAGAAATATTTCGAGACCCTAAAATTCTTAGGCGAATTGGGCTATGCTCAAGTTAAGATCACCGGGACATCTCATACTTGTGCTCCGAGCAAGCCCAATGGCACATGATAGAGACGGCAGGTGATTCTCAGACCTGTAAATTGGGACATAGTTACTTGACAGCAGCATACTAGCTCTCATGTTCGAACTACAGGGACTCAGTACACTCGCATGATACTGAGATCATTGTAGACGACGATGCGGGCGAGAAACACGATTCACTTTGAAGACGAGGTGCTGTATTGAGTATCTTACCTGAGTCTTGGGGTGGTCGCCACGTAATCCAAACAAAGCAATGTGCAATATTAGTGACACCAGCATTATTGCGATTGAGTGAATATATTTGCAGCAAGCACCAATGTTAAATTATAGACATCAGCTTCGCAAAGTATACGCCTCAGGCTCATGGCCTCGCTGTATCTGCACATAAGTCTAATTATCCCAGAGAGTCTGGTTTACTTGAACCAGGATCGCCGCAAATTTTGCCGCCGCCTAAAGATTCCAGAGTATCGATGATGGCAACAGAACACTCGATGAGGTCAAGCTAAATTAAACCTTTGGCTCCCCAGCCCCTTTGATCGTCAATACGTTATTGTTATCCGCTCATGTTGTCCGTTGTCTATTCCAAAGGTTGGCCTCGGAGCTGATATTCACATCGAGCCTACTGACCCCTGGTTCTCAAGATCGACATGCCTTTCATGTACTGACGCATGATTACAACCAAAGAGGGAGACAAGATTGATGTAGTCTCGCTAATTTGTTGATTTCAGAATGAACATCACAAGTGTGTGATATACTTTTAAGCGTTAGGCATTTTCAGATCATCTGAGTAATGAGAAACCTTCGCATGTTCCGAACAAATATATAAGCAGAGAGCCGTAAACTGTTTTGCTCTGCGATCATCCCCTTATCGGTGTGTCCTGAAGGGATTTCCATGTCTGGCAGAGGTTGCATGTTAGTCGCCAGCTCATTGATGTTGACGCTTCGTCCGTGGATATGGGGTATGCGATCTGGGAAATGAGGGTTTGTAGAGGGAATAAAGAGGAGGTAAGTTAACCCTGGGGAGAGATATTGAGACAATCTTGATGTTTGGTATAAGTTCCTTGATGGCCCATCAGGTATTAGGTAAAACTTGAGGTGATACCTATACTCTTGCAGAGCGTAGCGTCAGCGTGAAGCATCGGGCTTCTTGCAAGCGTCTATTATCGCATCTGTTTGCTTGGGGACGTCAAATAGACGCAGATGATAGGACTTTAAGGTCTGCTAGACCGAACCGGCAAATTGTACTCTTCACCGCGAATGATCCTTGCGATGTCTTTTGAAGAGAGTGTGACCAGCAGAAGCAATACGATGGGGGATGAAATCTCTGGCATGGGGAATCTAATACATTACAGCATGTTTATGGATGCAAACATCCGAATACGTATGAAGAGGTGGTGGACGCCAGCGTGTATGCAAGACATCCCCTTGTTCTGGACCCGGTTTCCAAGTGAAGCGTATGAAAGACTTTAGACCCCATACTCTGCTATGAAAGGCTTTGATAGTCACTATACAGCGCTTCGGATGAGTCTTTTATTCGTGAAGAGCAAAAGCCTATGAAGCCTACGTCATTTAAATACATGCACGTATATACGATGTTCCAATGACAGGCAAGGTCTAGCAGACTTCCGGCAGGATTTCCCGGAGGTAGCCGAGACTAAGGACATTGTTTTTCAAATATTCTGATGTAGTGCATATATACTATAAATTCATATCACTTGGGCTATGAAGAGACAAGGGACAATCATAGACTTTGGCATACTCTAGCCAAGTATGAACACGCTGTGTTAGTGGCGCACTCGCATCGTTCTACAATCAGACCCGAGTTTTCGGCAGAAAGAGATCTGCAGAAGATGGTCGATTTGGCTCATATGATACACTGATGAATAATTCACAGAGCTTGGGGAACTGTGAAGGATGCCGAGGTTGGTGGTGAGATGGTCACCGAACATGGAAACGCAGACCGCTCGGATTCTTGTGTTGTAAGCTCAAGTTTCTCTTTTACTACTTAGTGAGACGAATATCTTCACCAGATTCTTGGGAGCTGTACTCAGGCCGGCGAAACGAGTTTCAGTAAGTAGTTTTTTTTCTCTTACGTGGACGGTCTACACTTCTCACAGGGAAAGAGTCGACGTCTCAAGTAGCTCAGCTCAGAAATCAGACCATGAAAACAGCCACACGATATAGCTTTAGAGTCCTTTGTTTGTAAGATGGCGAGCCCACTGAAACATCTTCGTGGCGTTGATGGTGGTAGCCACCGTCTATCTATTACAGCGATTATGTAGCTGGCGTCGAGGACCTCGGGAAGTTTGTGTTGCGGCTCGATACAGCTCCAAGCGGTCTAGCTGCCGTCAGGCTGATATCGCAACAACAGAAATGACTCCTCTGGTGCCAACGGATGTGTAGGTACCGTAGGTACCAATACGCAGGACCCAAAGCTCATTCCATTACAAGTGTCTGCGGCGATGGACCAACGACCAACGCTACTAGATTGTTCCTCAAACGCTCCCAAGAGGCCTTGAATCTGCAGAGTTGCAGCGGTTTTTGAACCTGATTCTGTGTATGCGGCTGCTTTTCCTTCACGCATTCACCTGGCTGGAACAGGCAGTTGCTACCCGGTTGTTTTTGGCCTCATGAAGTGCCAAAGGCAACGCAGAAGCCGTCACCTGAGCACCAGCTTTGACCAAATAACCAGAGCGAGCTCCGAACAACAAACGACCACGACCACTGGGACGAGAATTTCCACCTAACGGTCTTTCTTCCCGTCTGCCCTTGCCTCCCTCGCTCTTTCTCAAGCAGAGTCCTCTTTCTCCCCCATCAAACCCACGTCTGGCTGATACCAACACCCTCCCCAGACCACACTCCTCGCCCTGCTCATCTGTCGATTTCGTCCTCGTAGGTTCTTTCACCATACGGCCATTGCATAAAGTTTTAACTAACAACCGGCGCAGGATCCTCCCATCATGCCTGAGCGCCCGCGCGAATTCCGCCAGCGCGGCGAGACCACTGAAGAATGGCTGGACAGATTGCGACGTGTCAACCCTGATGCTGGCGATGATGTTGACGGCTTCTCCAAGATGATGGAGGAGATTGAGCGAGAGACGGAAGCAGCTGCTGGCATTCGCTGGCATTCGCAAGAAACTCAGCAGCGACAAGACGCCATTCTGGCGCACTTTCAGGACTTCGTCAAAAAGCTCGAGAAGCTTCCAGACGACGTCACCGACGACCAGCTTGAGGAGGCATGCTTCCCTCCTCCCAAGGCGGGCGACTCAGGTCGCTCCAAATGGGACCCCCTCCGGCGCAACCTCAAGTTATTCATGGGATTCGTCGTGCGCTTTGGTGTGACCCCCGGTATCCACGACGCTGCTATCTCCGACAGCTGTCTCGCCCAGTACCGCGATGTCCTCATGTTCTGGGTTTCGAGGAGCTACCGTCTGCGCGACATGGATGGGCCTCGGTCCCACGAAGTCTCCAATGAAATGACGGAAGTCGTGCAACATCTGGAAGCCAAGCATGGAATCACCCGCCGCTCTCAAAGCATCGCCGAGAAACCGTATGTCGACATCGAGGAGCTCCGTCAAATGGTCGATGAAGGAACGGAGACGGTGGATGGGAAGAACATCATTGGACGTCAAGACTTGGGGGTACTCGGTGAGAAGCGTCAAACACCTATAGATTCAAGATGATCTCACAGTCATAGGCACTCAAGGAGAATTCGCCGCGATGGAATTGGCGGGATCCCGTATGTCTTTTGAAACCGATATGGTCAAGTAGTCGTAGTATCTCAAACATACTTCGGCTCTTGAGATAGAGAATCTTGAAGTCCTGGTGCCCCCCGGTATTTACCATTACACCGTTGCCAAAAGGCCCAGGGGACCCATAACCCAAAGCGCCGAACCTGAATTCTCAAGGCCACTGCAAGCATGCTCCTCTGCCAGGTCTTGCCTGCTTGGTTCGTGGCTCCTGCAGACTGCCACATTTAAACAGCTTTTCCTGCTGGGTCTTGCGTATCTCGACGGAGCACAACACAGCATTCATGCGTAAAACAAACGCCGCTCCCCGATGTCTAGCTTCAAAGAGAGGAAAAAGTAGGGAAGGGTGGCCAACCTTTCGAACTCAGTAGCCACTTCCCCAATACCTCAAGTCACGTAAGATATTCAAGCAGGAAGCAAGACGATCTACATCTTAGACACGTTGTCCCTCCTTTATATTAGTAAATCACACGCCTATCTAACACAGAAACTTTGAGTCTTCCTCACATGCTGCTGTGGCTCCATGGCTCCACCAGTCTACACAAATACTATCAAAACCACACCCTAAAGCTCTGAAAAGCTCCTAGGAACCCTCAAAAACAATATCAGCCCCTAAAACAGAGCCAAATAGCAAAAGACTGGACGAACAGGGAATCGAACCCTGGACCACTCACATATTGGACGATGGAATCATCCGATGCTAAGCGAGTATTATACCACTAAACCATTCGCCCAAGATGATTTCGCCCGGACTTGAACCGGAGACCTTCAGTGTGTTAGACTGACGTGATAACCAACTACACCACGAAACCATTTGAATTGTTAAAAGCAATAGCGAAATGTGCGTATGTTAGGGTCGGCGACGAGGCCGGAAGTTGTCGTTGAGCGAGGATTGGGTGGTGGGTGCGACGTGGTGGGGTGCATTCCGGCGCGGTGGGTCGGCGAGATGAGAGACCAATCAATCTCGGGCTCACATCACGTTAAGAGAAGGTCGGTTGCGATTCAACTCTAAAACCAACTTTGTGTCTCCCTCGGTTGCCCTGTGTCGGGCAGAGATGTTCTCTCGCTGCCTGTGGCCGTTATCTCGTCCGGTGATGCCAGCGTGGGGGCACTCGGCGGTATCAAGCAGTCTCCCAAACGAATGGCAGGTTGACAGGGACGCGGACAAGGGTGAGACGGCTGGTCGTTGTCAGAGCCTACGTACGGCATCTTGTCCCGATGCTGTGATTGTGCCAGCCTCGTATCTACGCCGTCTTTGAGCTCACACGGTGGCCGGGGCGGAGTCGAGTCCGGTATGTGGCAGTCGATATGCGGATGATCCCATCACCTGCCTGAAGATCTTGGCTCTATCCGTACTCAGCCAGCCATGGAGTTGAAGAACATGCCATGTGACCTGTGGATCTTTAGTACGAGATCGGCACAGCCCCAGCCTTGAGCCGCATCCCGCTCGTAGACGTCCGGTTCGGTCGAGTACTCCTGGAACGGCGGTGGCAGCGGAGACACACTGGCTCGTCATTACGAAGCACGTGGCGTACGTGGTGGTACACGACAAGCGGCAGCCTGCCTCCCCGGAATGATTATCCAATAGTCAGGCAATGACAAGCGACTTGGAGGATGAGTCCGGAACCATGGTGATACGCAGAAACCCGTGCCTCATGGGAAGGCGTCTTTCAATCCAGTCCTGGATTGCAAGGCGCGGCGCAATGGGATCACTCAACGAGACCACGCGGCCGACCCGGCAGTTTCTTGAGTGGCGGTAGCAGGCTCAATCGCTTTCGGGTATCAACTTGACCGCGCGCTTCGGGAACTCTGGTCCCTGATGATTCCGGGCGACTCGGGCCCGACCTTCGCGCGAAAGGAACATCGAGCTCAGACTTTGGAGTGCTCAATATAGCAGCACGGGCCAGTGCGTTCTCTCCAAGGCAGATCAGTTTGTTGGCTGCCCTCAGGTACGCAGGCATGGCGAAGGCCTGTGATGCGTGCACAGAGCCTGAGGATAAGTCTGCACAGTTTAGCGCAAGGTCGATATTGACCACTGGGGATTGCGAGATGAACTAGAGACTAGCTCGTGCGATTGCAGATCCTCCGCATGGAAGCACTGGGAAACCCATGGCAATGCGGCGCAGGCTACACCAGGTTTGGCTCAAAGGACAACGTCGACGGCATAAACATCGAAAGACTCGATATTGGGTGGCACTTGCGGCAATTGCGTTGGCAAAATTTGACCGCGGCAGAATGGTAGAACGGGAGTTTCGACCAAGGACGACAATGACAGCTGTTCGTAGAAGAATGGACGGTTGAACATTGCATCGACAGATGTTTGCTACGATGAAGCAGAAGTCATCAATAGTCGAAATGAGGTGACCCGGATTTTGGGACCGAGTATTGGGGGCCGAGCATTTAGGGGATCGACGACGAATTGGCGCATTGACTTGGTCAGGGTGGTTAGAGGATTTAGACTTCCTGCCTGAAACTCTGTGGTGCTAATGGTTCAGTCCGTCTCATCTCCGCCACGTGGGAAGGTGAGATGGCGGAGAATTGGCCTGGGCGCCTGTCTCGCAGTAGACATCTCGGCTCTTTGGCGAGTATGGTGTCAGTTTCCACATGGCTGTTCGAGAATAAACGACATCAGCCATGTCGATGGAGATCATATCGAACGAACCAGGGGCGAACCGCTGTCGAAAATCTCTGCCGCTGCAACGACCGAGGCATCAGAGACGGACTAGGGCTCCAGGTGGAGGAACGTTGACAGGCCGTCGCTGGCACTTGAATGGCCCGGGGTCTAGACGCCGTTTGCCAAGTCTGCAACCCGGTAGACCGGTTCCTCGGTTCAAGCAGAAGTTGTTCCTTCGAGGGTAAAGCCCGCAGGCCGGACATGGAGAGCGGGTCAAGGAACAGCAATCTCAGAATCGAGATGTCTTGTTTGGTTGGCAACGGGGTCGATATGCGGGTGATGAGGAGTAAACGAAACCACCTCATCTCAGTAATCCAAAAGCATGGAGAACAATGTCATCCAGCAGCACAGACAGGAGCTCATACCGAGTTGGGGGCCAGAAGCCGGCCTGGGTTCCTGGACAAGCCATGGACTTGCAACGTCATGGTGATGGTGATAGGAGGGTTGAAGTTAGGATCTTGCCTAGAAAGGACGCCCAGGCCGAGGAATGGAGTATCGCAGTCGTCATGGCCTCGGTATCGGGCCGTAGTGATGTGACAGAAAGTTGAAGGGAGTGGACTCTGCGAGAAGCGAGAAGACTGCAGTCGCATCTGCGGCTAGCATTCTGGGGACCCCGGAATCCCACCAGTCGGTTCACAGGTGTAAGGCGCAAGGGAGCCTGTTGTTGAGATGTTGATATCAGGCTATTTGGGAAGGAGAGAAAATTTTCATGACGAGCGCGGGTTGGAGGCAGAAAATGACGAGTTGCGATTGGCGAATTAACGGCGAATTCAAAGTCTTGGCTTGTTGGTTTGCTCTGGACTGGCCGATTGCTCACCGGGGATAAGGCGGGAGGCGGCTGACCCTCGTCTATCCGGAAATTTGCGAGTCTTTGCAAGCTGCCTACTTGGTAGAGGTTGAAAGTGACAGGCGGACAGTGACGTACGTGTCTTAGTCTTCGGCTCCGAGTGTCCGCGACAAATTTGGTTCGGTTGCGGGTTATCCGTGGATATACGGGTATCCGCGGTGATGATTCTGACAATTGATTGAGTGTAGATGAAGGATTTGTGGTTGATAGGGGTGGACCTCTTGGCAAGTCATGAAGTGGTTGACAACGTCTGAGGGACTGGGGTCCAGGAAGTGGGAGACGGGTCGCGGTCGATTCTTCGGTGGTTCCTGTTGAAGGTTGTGACCGGATCGGGAAATGTCGATGAAGTTGAAGAGTCGGGTGCCAGTTTAACCCCTCATAGAGCGCGTGTGTGTTCGGCAGTGTCCAAGGTGACTTTGGTCGATGAAGTGCATGGAAGCATGCCCCGGGCTGGCATGGACAGGCTGTGTTGGGATACGGTGGTGCATGTGGATCAGAAGCGAGAGGGCATCTCGCAGACTCGCAGGATGGAATAGCTGCAGCACCTTGTTCAGTCCCGTCTGCTGTCGGTGGCTTCCATCCTTACCTAGCTACCTCAGGTAAGGTAGATAGGTACCTCGAGGTTCAGAGCTCGGGGTAGAAAGGAGCGCGAGTTGTTGCATTGTCGGCTGCGAGGCGGTGGTGGAGGAGACGGAGACGGAGAAGGAGGAGAAGGAGGAACAGGTAGCAAGGCCTTAGGTAAGGTACGAATGCATGGCCGATTCCCTGTGCATTGGCCCTGCATCTGCATCCAAGGTGCATTGGCTGGAGTGCGGCTGTGCATTTAGTCCCTGGGAAAGGGATGCAGGAAGCAGGAGAAAATGCGAGCTAAAATGTTTGGTAGACGCAGGATGGAAACTCTGATACGGAGATGCTGGAAGCTGCATTCAGAGGGAGTCAGTCATGCTCTTGCCAGTGGTTGGACTACCCCGAGTGCGTAGGTGATGTGGGCAGCGGACAGGAAGAAGGTGGAGAGGAGTGTCGTGGAGTGGAGACTTTCCCTGCCATGTGCCGATAGCTACCTTGCCTTAGGTAAGATTCAAGGGCTAGTGGGAAAGAGCAGCCGGGATGCTGTGTCCTCGGCCGAGTGTCAAGTCAGAGACTGAAGAAGGAGCGAATGTGTCTATGGAAGGTGAAGGTATATGGATCCGTAATGTAATCAATCGCCTAGGTACCTACCTAAGGAAGGCACGATTTGACGGGAGGCGTTGATTGCAGGAAGGAGGGAGCTCCCCACTTGGTCAATGACGCAGGGCAGACGCACTCTGCATCGACCTCGAGTATCTTCGCCGGGAAATAGCTTGCAACGGAATACACGGCTTTGGTCTCTACCTCTTACCTTACGGACGAAAGTGTAGCTTGGGTACCTTAGGTAGGTTGCACGAGAGGAAAATGGCCGATGGGACGGCATGGAAAAGAACTGGAAGACTGGGGGGCAGCGTGGCCTGCCGCGGCAAGGGCTTTCAATGGCTGGAAGCCACCGGGACGAACCACGAGGTGAGGCAGTCGTTGGGGTCCACTGTCCACTGTCCACCGTCCCATCGCCGCTCCTGCCCTGCCCTGTCCTGTCTCTCCTGCCCTGTCCATTCTGCCCTGCACCTGCACTTGCACCTGCAGCTGCCACACGCGGAGCCATTAAAAAAAAAAGACAGTAAAGACTGAGAAACAGAAACACCAGGAGCGCGCTAAAACACAACTCGTCGGCATCCACTGCGACCTGAACTCCACTTTCTCTCCTGTCAAAAGGCTCGAGAGCGAGCACCCCAACACATGAGAGGTCAACCAACTCACTCGTGAGCCCACCATCCCCTTGGCCGGAGGCACCTTACCACATGGGACGGTTGAGCACCGCTGGAGCTGGTCCACCGGCCATGCAGGAGCGGTGCTCGTGCGTCGCAGCTCTCTGGGTCTCTGGGTAGACGGCAGCCTGACTCGCTGGAAGAGGAGAAGACGCGCCGTTCGACAACTCCTCTCCTCTCCCGTCCTCAGGGCATCCATTGATTCCACCTCAGGCTCATCCAGCGGTGCTTGCGGCTTGCCTTCTCTGTCCATTGACCGTCGCGGCCGAAAGAGACGGGACCGCCCAGGCCGGAGTGCAGAGCACCTCATCCGTTGGACCTGCCCCAAAGACACCAAAACCCCGTCTAAGCGGCATGAGACTCGCCCGGTCAAAC